TTTTACTTGAAAAAAAAATAGTATTTTATATATAATGCAATATTAAACCATTTACAACCATTTCCATTGTATATGATACAATATCTTACAGTTAATCAATTAACTATTTTTAATTTAGCATTTGTAGTACTTTTTGTGAAAATTGCACACATTTTTTAAATTTTTTTACAGTGAATAACCTGCAATATTCTGGATCTGTTGCAGGTTTTTACCCGAAGCTAGTGCTGCACTTCTCTTTACGTAGAAATGTGCTGTTCTTCATTCTGGAGACATATGTGCCCTCAACACTGCTGGTGGTTCTGTCATGGGTGTCTTTTTGGATCAGTCAGTCCTCCGTTCCAGCTCGTACCTGCATCGGTCAGTGATTCCAAGAGCTTATTACTCTAAAAATCATATGCTACAAAAGATTTCTGGATTATAGAAAAACTAATTATTCTCTATCAAATCCATTTATTTGACAGGGGTGACCACCGTTCTTACCATGACCACACTAATGATGGGTGCCAGGACCTCGCTTCCCAATGCCAACTGCTTCATTAAGGCTATCGACGTCTATCTCGGCATCTGTTTCACCTTCATCTTTGGTGCTCTGCTGGAATATGCCTGCGCTCATTTCTGCACCATGCAGCACCAAACCATTGTAGATGTGCAAAGGGTGAGAAACCTCTGGATAGAGGCTAAAATGACACATTTTTACAACCTGTTGTATTTTTAAATTTTTACATGAAATTTTCACAGGAACTGCTCAAAGAATTTGAGGAGTCAAATGGTATGACTCACTTGGCAAATTCAACGTCACCCAAAAAGATGCAGACTGAAGAATCCACTCAGCAGGAGACGCCCGAACAATCTGTGACATGCGAAGGGAATGAGGCCACAGACAAGAAGAAAGAGAAGGGGTGCGGTTTGTCCTCCGTAAAGCAAATGTCTCGCCGAGCAGCATCCATGATGAGTGTCGAGAATCCTAACAACATCGACAGACATGCACGTGTATTTTTCCCCATGGTATTTCTCCTTGTCAATATTTTCTACTGGCTCTACTACCTTTTATTCTAATGGATGAACCACTCTTAATGAACAAAGTATTGCACAAATGACTGTAAAAGTGAAAAGACTGTTGACTCCCTATCAATTACAGTTAAATAGTGGCCTATAACAAGGACCTGGACTTGATTCATTGTTGCACTGAAGAAAGTAGGCCTATTTCTACACAACAATGAAAATGAAGATCACATGGACACACAAAAATCACCATACAGACTCATCTGTAGCAGGAGACAAAAAAGGAGCTGTTCTACGCGTCCACTCTTTGATTTAGCCTATTTAAGGGTTCAAAGCTTTACTTCTTTTTTCTTCTTGCTTTGTTTTGCTAGGTAAACATAATGTTCTGTAAGGCTGCTGTAAACTCCGTAAGCACTGACCATAATAAATGGCACTAAGTAAAACCAATAATGGTCAGTGTATGCATGTCATTATGTACAGTGCGGTCCGCAAGTCTGATTCAGGTGTAATTCAAACCCGTAAATACATTTTAAAATAAAATAAAAAAATGCAAAAACAAATAAACTTTGAGAAATGTTTAAGATTATGCAATATTTCTAGGTGCCTAATAAATTAATCCAATAAGATATTTTGGTAGACTAGTAGTCATTGTTGCATTATCAATCCAATTATGTTGATATAGAATGCAATGTAACAACTGACTACTTAATCACCCACTCATTTATTCATCCATTTACCTTCTAATCTATCCAACCATAGATCCATCCACCCATTTTAAGTGATTTATTTGGAGAATTTACCGTCTTCTTCGGGTTTACTGTCAGACTGAACGCTCAAGACAGCTCTAATGAAAACACTTAATTAAATTAATTACATAAATCAATGAATTCATTAAATAATGAATTTATTGCATTGTGTTAAGGGTTTGATTATACTTAAAACACACAACAAGCACTAATATTTAATAGTATTTAAGTGTTTATTATTTATTTAAAAAAAATTGTATTTCTAAAAAAAACATTTCCGTTTGTTTTGTAAGTTTGGTCTGAGTTCTTGATGCTTTTACAACGTTTTCACGCCAGCATGTGCGGTTTCAAGTGCTTCGAAACATCGAATCATTTTTCGAAGCAATTGGTTCAATTGATTCAATGCTTCGAACAGCTTCGTTTCTCCCATCACTAGCTTTACTCACTCTGGCCATAAGCTGGCACTGTCGCTGTAACTCAATGAACGAAGAGCATCGCCTGGTCAACGAGGAAAACCCATCAGCCAATCAGGAAGCAGGTTGCTTTTTAAAACTCAGCCGGGAAACGCGGAACCAAAACAAACGGCATTTTGCTTGTGTAGAAAAGGAAAGATTAAACACAGAGAAACGGTAAGTTTTAACTAAAAAACAAAACTAAGTTTAAGTTAAACTGTATGTAGTGATTAAAGTCACGTAATATTCTGCGGGTCACTTTTTTTATTTAACGTAAAAATGGCAAACGGACTTGACCAAACTGAACGAATTGCTTCGTTACAAATCATGAATGACATTATTTGAACGAAACAAGTTGCATTTCATTGTCTTGCTTTTCACCCTATGAGATACAAAAGATACAAAAATGGACACCGTGATTTACCTGGATCAGGAGAACGGCAGACTGACCACTCCAGCCATCAAATCTCGCCAGAACAGACTGCACTCTGCTCCAGGTCAGTGCCAATATAGGCTTTGTCTCATAACCAAAAAGGGACTACTCACCAAGTCCCTAATTTACGTCTGTCACATTTTCAGATCAGTGCTTGAGAACACCTCTGGCAGCAGGAAAGGCACGTCCTGGAGCTCCTCTGCAATCGGGCCGAAAAGCTTTGGGAGTCATAAATAAGGTTGTTGCCACCCAAGCAGCATCTCATAAAGCAGAGGAGAAGACGAAACCTGCTGAAGCCAAGGTTTGTTCTTGATATGCAGAGAAAACCGTATGAAAGTTGTTTGTAGGTTAAGTCTATTTGATTCCATCAGTGTAAGGTTTCTGCTCAGCCAGCTAGTGAGGAGTTGCCAGAGATCGAGAAGTGTTACCCATACAATCCAAACGGTAAGACCGACCTGCTGTATTATGGCTTTTAAGCTAAACTTTTGACTTCAGCTCTTGACAATTCTGTCCATGTTAAATTTGTAGAGTTTGAGACCTGCGGTGTTCCAGATGAAGTCTACCTCAGTTGTTTCTCTCTGACTGGTCTGGGAAAACAGATGTGGCCGAATGCTTTACCTGTGGAAGAGCTTATTATGGACCCATGTTTGCCACTCTCACCTTTAAAGATGCCCAGAGGTAATGGATATTTAGAAATGTAGCTTAAAGTTGTCTATGCAAAAAGTCTTTATGCCCAGTTAAACTTGTTTAATAAGTCTTTCCTCTCCTGCAGCGGTGGAATGCGTTGATGAAATGGAGGCATTCCTTCAGACTATAAGTGAGCTGACTGTTGACTTGCCCCCTGAGTGTGAACTCTAAATTTTCATGTGGATTGTGAACTTTGTATTTTTAAAATGGTTTGCTTTTTAACTTATTAAACGTTTTATGAAACTTGTGTTCATCTGACACTAAGACTAGGTTTTTTTTTCTTTCTTGAGGGGTCAGTTCCTCACCAGCATTAAGATATCACTGAAGGTGTTGTACTTTAAACATTTAACTGACAATCTACTAATCGTCTTTCTGTAAATCCAGTATATAAGGAAATATCAGGTTCTGTGGCCTGAAGTCTTGCAAAATCTAGTTCGCTAGTTGTCTTCATGGTCAGTTTAATTTTTTCCTGTCCATCCAGCGATACTATGGTTCAGAGGACTTTGCCACAACATGGGCTAATTAGTTCGCTTGTTGTCACCTTTACTGTCCATTTAAATGTATTTATTTATTTTTTTTTCACTTTCTTCCTGTCCATCTGGAGAGATTTTGCGTCACTTCTGGCCGTAGCTGTATCCCTTCTAGCCACAACCATAATTCCCATGTAAGTCTATAACAAAGAAACAAAAATACACTTTTTATTTATTTTTTTTTCCCTTTATTAAAAGAATATTCCCATCTCCATGTCTAAAGACATTTAAAGTGCAAATGTTACTCACATTAAAAGGTGAAAAAACAAAAGGTTATAAACGGAAGTATCTGTAAAATACATTGAGGCTAGATTAAAAAAGTAATGTTAAAATCATTTACAATCATTGTATGTACACCGTTATTAGCACCACTTGGTTAAGAGCAGGAGTTACCCCAGAAGTACTGTGCAAGCAATGGAGTGTAAAAACACACTTTGTACAAATCAGTCACCAATCATGCCTCTTAACATACTATTTTAAAGTGGATTGTCTCACATGCATTCCCATCTTTCTTTACAACCTACCCACAACTCTTTTGTGCACTTTCAAAGGACAAACTATTATTTCCTCATACCATCTCAATCCTTCAATATTTTGTACTTGTAACATGGAACTTCACAAGACTTGAAGAGGACATCATTTGACTGCAAAGTATTATAATAGAGCGGCTGCTTTGTCATTCTAACCCCATTATAAAGTTACAAAAGTGGCAGTCGTCATAGTCAATATATATGCATATACAGCAGTCTGTGTTAGAGAAAGGTGGTTGAAAAGTCCTCATGTTAACCTTGACATTCCTGATCAGCAGTTTAAGTCCCCTTCTTAGATTCCCATTCCTGGTTAAAAATAAAGCATTAAGGTTTAAGTTACACACATACAGGCAATTCTGCAATATATAAGACTTAATAGCAGGACCCCAAACTAATTGATGAAACTCATTAGAGACTGACTCATTAGAAATAGATTGAATGTTTTAATGTGATCTCTATTGATGCAACAAACTGTTCCGTTTGCATTATCGGTCTTTTGATGCATTGCACTGGATAATGTTGTGAACACTGATGTGTTTACCTTGGCTTTCTGCATAACGTTTCCCTTCGTGGATGCATAGATGGAGGGGGTCCGCTTACGCATTTCAGAGGTGCAGTTGACCGGAAGAAATGACTCAATATACTGAGTCTCCATCCTTTGAGTCTGTAAGGTAAACAAGTACCATATTTAACAATTTCGATCAAACTGTTAATTCTAATATTTGCTTTATAGGTCCAGTCAGTACCTTGTTTGTAGTTTTAGACTCTGTAGGTGCCCCCAGTTCTCCACCAGCCAAAGATTTCTTCACGTTCTCCTTCACCTGCGTGAGCTTGAGCTCTAGGTCCACACGCTCTCCCTCTTTCACCCGACAGCTGTCCTCTAACTGGGCTACACGCTCCTCTAAAGCCAACTTCTGCTTATCTGCACAACATGTATATAGTTCAGTTTACATATGCATTTTTGGCAGATCCATTATGATCATATAAAAGCAAAGAAACGTCAACATCATTATCATTATTACTAAAATGTTAAACAAAATATGAAATATTACGATTACTCAAATAATATTACAATATACTATTACAATAATATTATTTCAAATAATTATAATTATTATTACAACTAAAATATTAAACACAGTAAGAAACATTACTATTGTATTAATGCTATTTCAATGTAAAATTAAAAATGTAGTATTCATGAAAAAGAATATAATAATTTTACAGTACAACTGTAAAATTACAATTCTAATATTTATAGCAGTCTTCATTTCTTCAGACTATATTGCGATTTAAAAGTTCTGTGTTATGATAATATGGCTGTTACCCTCTCAAGAGAAGAATTTATGAACACTATGTATCATCTAAACATGGATATAAAAGAGAAACGAGGACATACATATACGTGATTGAATTAAATGTTGCAATATGCTAAAAGAAATAAGCAATAAAAAGCAATTTTTGCTAGTAAAAGTGGGGGAAAGTCACTTGTTTAACTATTTTTAAAGAGTCCTTGAGTATCTCATTAAATAGACAGGAAAGCTTGCTTTCTCACCCGGTGCACCCTTCATCTTCTCTTTGGCCTCTCGTTTCTTTTTCCTCAGTGAGACTAGGGCACTTCTGATACTATCTATTTCTTTTTCCAGGTCTTCTTTTTCTTTCAAGTATTGGCGTGCGTCCTCCTGTGCCCGCGTTTTCCCATACCTCCCGTACTGATTTGCGTCTGAAATGTCAAGTAAAGGTCAAAGATCAGACCCTAGAAGTCTGTGGGAAGGTGGCAATGCTTTTAGCACTTACCTGGTGAGAGAATGAGTGTGAAAATACAGAAAGCTGTAGATCAAACCAAACTGTCTTGTTAAGCTCAGGTTAAATCATTCTGACTGCTTCTGATGTGACAAGAACTCTGCAGCCATTTTCAAAATGGCCAAAATAGGGTTGAGCAGTCAGCAGGCTGCTAATAAAAACTTAAAACCATCATACTCTATACGTTAAAGACAATGCTGAATCCAACAGCTGTGTTTGTTATAAGCACAACTAGCACAGTGCAGAGTGTGATGGGACTCACTGGAGCCGTGGCGTTTTAGAGTGATTTGTGGACTGGGCTTTCCTGTGTCACTGCTGGAGAAAGAAGAACGACGTTTTGTTTGTGCTCCTCCCATCAGCCTCTCATTTTCCTGCTGAAGAGAAAAGGTGTACCATATTTAAACTACTGTACTGTACACTGCTTCATACCGTTCCAATGCCATTTGTATCCCTCATACTCAAATAATTAACATAGTATATTAATATAGTTGATGCCAATTGTGTTTTTATAAACACATCAACAAATATCCACAAATTTATTTATTCATTTATTTTTTTAATATAAAATAAAGTGAAATATAATGTAGAATTTTGTCTATTTACTACAGTGGTTCTCTAAAAGGGTGCCAAGACCCATTGCGGGGCCTCAGCAAACTTCCAAGAAGGCTGAAGATGACTTAAAATTATTCAAAATATTTATTAATACAACATTACAACATTAATATTATTTAAAAAAAAAAAAAATCACTCAATGACTATTGTTTCTGTTTTTTCATCAAAAAAAGATACAGCTTTGTCAATTATAAACAAGCAGTTTTGTCATAATTATAGCAGTGTTGGGGGGAGGGGGGCTTCCAGTCTAAAATGTTATATATAATATATTATTATTATGATATATTTACTATATATTTTCAAATTTTAGTTAACAGTTTGTTATTTAAAAATACTTTATATTGTTATTAAAAATACTATTTTTTTCTCCAATTTATTGTTTTGGCTGGAGATGGCACAATGCAATAAATATGAACATTTAAACTGATTTACCCTTATGTTACATAAACAACTGAGGGGAAAAAAAAAACAGTTTAAAAATCAAACAGTTCTTTTTTTTATTATTGTGTAGCCTGATCACATGATTTGAGGCACGCACAGATGGAGAACTGAAGCTTCTGTATGGGTGTCTGGGGGATCAGCACAGGTTTAACAAGCCACTCAAAGGCCAGAGGCCATGAGGACTGAACCTGCTCTAACCCCCGATTACTGCATACAGAGTCATCACACACTTCTCATCTTTCATTAAAGTCCAGTCACGCCACATGCACACAGAGGCACAAGGATATCTGACCTCTTCTAAAGCAAGTTTGTGTTTGAATGAGGTTAACAGAATTGCCATGGTCACAGAGAAGACTTTTCTCTATTTAAAAAAAAAAAAGGTTAAATAAATTAAATAATGATTTCACTATGATGCATGTACATAAATGTTGTGTATTTCTTTCTATATGCTTTGAATGTAAGTCTGTGCACATAAAATTAAGTGCTTTTTTTGTGAAGAGTTTTCTTTTGGAGGGAGGGTTGTAAAGCATATGGCTTGTAAAAAGTGTTCTCTTAGAAAAAGGCTGGAAACCACTGTTAGAGAGGAAGCACATGACCAAATGTTTGTTCATCTGCGAACACAAACCTCTATGGCTTCGAAAGGGACCTCATCATACGTTCTTGAATCTGTGGAGGTTGCCCATCTAAATAAACAGGAAAAGAAACAAGAACAGTTAAGGTAGTGAAAATCAACAAGATGACCCAATCTAAAACTCCAGCCCTCATCTCCTTCACCCTCAACTCACAGGAAAGAGTGACGGGCAGCTGTACGGATGTTGGCAATAGTTTCCACATCTACATAGTCATAATGTAGGGACTCGGGGTCAGCAGAGGAACCGGTTTCTGCCAACAAGACTCCCAGCCAGCGGCCCATGTCCTCCGAACAACTCGCCTAACACAACAAACACACACAGGAACAAACATGAGCTACAAGCACAGAGCTAGAGACAAAATATATCACACACAGACATAAATTAAGATTCGTTCAGAATTTATTTATCACACATGATAAATGAGTATTAAAGAATTACAAAACATTTTTAAAAATAATTTTTGAGCTTTTGTCGTTGTGTTGATAGTATAGTTGGAATGCACGATACATCACTACCAGTTGTTACTGTTAACAAAATTATTAAAAACTTAAAAGTAGAATATAAATAATAGATCGAAAAAACTCAACTAAAACTTAAACGTTGCATTGGCAACTAATTACAATAAAATAACAAATGAAAATAAATTGAACCTAAATAAAAATATAAAAAAATGTATAAAGTAAGCTAAAATTAAAATGAAAACTAAAAAATATTAAAACAAAAGCTAATTCAAATAATAAAAAAAAATGATAATAGTGCATAAATAATACTAAAATGACACTTGTCGGAGCCATATTGGTTATTTGCCAATATTGCAGATTTTTACATTTATCAGTGTCAGTCAATATTGGATATTATTTGCTGTAATATTCAGAATGAATATACATTTTTCATAATCTACATTATAATGATATGATGCCTATAGTCACCTGCAGCATTTAAGTTTTCTTTGTTTATTTTTATTTATTTATACAAAACAGTAAGTCATTTTAATATCTGCAATAAAACATTGTTGGCTTGCCTTTATCAGCCAGAATTTTCATATTGGTGCATCCTTATACAGTAGTATAGATTGAAAGATGACAAAAAAAATTATAAGGAGGTAGATCAGAACAAAGATCCAAACCCACACAAAAACCAAAACTAAATTTGCTTGTAGCATGTGTGCTAACTGCTCGAATACAGCTCTACGAAGCATTGCCGTGAAAACGTCACACAAAACATTCAGTACCTCTAAAGCTGCCAGCTCTGCACCTCCTTTCAGTATCCTTAGAGCGAAGGGGTGCTTGGGCCCGAGGCCTGGGACAATCTCGCATCCCTTCAGAGCCACAGTGGTGTGGGGGACCCGCTGTTCTCCTTTCTCATGGTAAAGGTAAAGAGATCCGGCCTGCACACGACACCAGTGTTCCTTGCAGCACTGATTCAACAGCACTCCTACATAACCTGACACACACATATACACACACACACACACACACACACACACACACACACACACACACACACACAC